GCATGCCGTAGTCGTTACACCATGAGGGGGGGGGGTCGCCGTATGGGGAACAAACGTAAAGAAACCGAAGAGTTCCGCGAAAAGGAGAGGCGTCTGGATGTAACCAAAGCTGGTCTGGCGTGGTGGTTGGGACGAACGCACGGCGCCGCTGCTGCTGTTACGTACAGCTTTGCGGTCAGCAGCATGAAACTGTTTCCTTCTTCTTTTTCTCTCCTCCCTCTTTTTGTGTGGGCCGGCGTCGGTTCTGAAAAACACTAGCGACTACATACCGCCACCTTACATATCTTGAGGGTCACCACAGCAGCCGCACGGAACAACCACAACCTTGCTGCTAAACCGTACCATGGTACTGCCGGAAAAATATGGAACCGTTGTACCAGTTTACAAAGGCGGGGTTGCACTCACTCAGAGCCTTAAGACGCTTCTTGTACATCTTGAGCAGGGCCAGGCCGTAGCGGAAGATCACCTTGCTCCCCTCGCAGAACCAGGCGTCCCACACCACCACCAGGTGCCTATATATGTGTTTATATTTTTTTCGATTCCGAAAATGAACCGTCCAGGATAAATCGTCAATAAACGCCATCAATTTATTAATGTGGTCACGATCACGTGGGTGTGCTGTTCCGACCAATCACTGCCCAGCAAATTGTCTCCCAAGAAATCCTGCTTGTTCTTGTCAAGTGGTGTTATGGTTGGCGAATTGTTGTAGTTGTTCGGGCGCGTTTTCTTCTTCTGTCGTGCTTGCGACTGTATTCTACAACTGCCGTTCTTGCGTGCGTTGAGAAGCGACACTCGGAACCAACACCAATCCAACAACTCAACTGCAAAGAATGAACAACAAGGGAAAAATGATACTGTAACTCACTTGAGCGGGAGTATCGGAACCAACATGCGGAGCAGGACCTGCCGGAGGTGCTCCGGCTCGTCGGCCCCGCACTTGGACATCTCCTTTGAGGTCTCGGGGAAGAAGTCCTTGACCATGTTCTGCATGACACCACAGGTGAAAAGAAAGAACAAAAAAACAAACAAACGCAACAACACCAGGGAATTCGCCCAAAACCAATCCATGAGCCATGCATGGCGAAGAGAGGAGCGAATAAGGTAGCAGGGAGATCTCTCTAACTTGTAACCGCCACAGTACATTCGCACGATTTGCAGATTGTTGTGTCAGCACTATTTTCGAAGTAGATGCATAGGTTTAACAACTACGTTCTCGCACAATTTTCAGATTATTGCGTCGGTACTTTGCGTATTTCAAAAGTGATGAAACCAAGTGGGTTCAATATCTTCACATAGAGATCCCAATAGTGTAGTCCCCCAAGTCCTTCTACCTCGAGAGGTGAAAGCAATAAGTTAAGCGGTTTCGGCACCCAAGCTCGTGGATCTCTCGTGATGTTTTAGCCCCGTATTCTTTCTCGCCGACATATTCCCCAAGCCCCCTCGCACTCGACAAGCAAAGGTCGCAACTCGATGTTGTTCGGTGCCTCCCACGCAACCCGCACCGGCTTTCTCTGCCAAACCCACACCACACCTTGAACGTCATCGCCCAGGACAAGCAAAGTTGCGCAAAATTCCATGCTGTTCCGTGCCCCCCCCCCCCTCCCAGCTCCCAACCCGCGCCGGCTCTCTCTACCAATCCCCACACCGCACCTTGAACGTCCCCCCCCAGGCCTCGAACTCTTCCTCCGAGTGCGGGAAAAACAGCGGCCGCATGCCCCACAGCTCCTCCACGACCCCGTACACGCAGCTCTCGGGCATGTAGGTCAGCAGCACGGGCACCACGTCCAGCAGGGAGGGGCTCCACTCCACCGCCAACATGTGCTTGATGGTCACGAGGAGGCGTCTCACGGCGGCCCGCTGGATGGGAATAAGAAGGGGGCGGGGGCGGGGGCGGGGGGGTACTCATGGTTTGCATGCCTTGGCGGTTATATACCATTCACCACAAGTGCTCATTGTTGCCACAGGACCGATCACTGATGATAGCCAATCGTTCCTTCCTGGGGGAGGTACTCATGCAAACGCTCATGCCGTAGTCATTTGACCTCGCACGCCGAGACGGGGCGATATGCCGGATTGTTGTTCCCCGGCCCAGGCTACGCTTTCATAAGGAAGGATGAACCGGAAGCTGGTCATCATCCTTGCGTTTGCTGTGCCAAACAGGGGGGGGGGGGGGGGGGGCCCCCAACCCCCCCCCCCCCCCCGCGGGGGGGAATTTAAAAAACAAAAGGGGCCTTTCCTACGGGCGGGGGAAAAAAAAAAAAAAAAGGGGGGGGGGCTTTTCCCCCCCTTTTTTTCGGGGTTGGGCGCCAAATCTCCCCCCTTTGGGGCCCATGGGGGGGTCCCCCCGCCCCCACCCCCCCCCCGATCCCGGGGATTTCCCCCCCCTAACATCCCCCCCCAAAACCCCCTCCCGGAACCCAGTCCCAAAAACCCCTTTTTGGAGCTGGGGGAAAACAAAGGGCGGGCAGGGAGAAGAATCCCCCTTGAATTGGGCCCCTAACTACCCCCGGGTGAATATATTTGAAACGGGGGAACCTCCATTTTTTTCCTAACAAGCCCGGAGGGGAACAAAAGGATCCCCCTAATACCCTAACTAAATTTCCCCTTGGGAAAAGAAAAAATAAAAATTTTTTAAACACCACTAAAATTTCCGAGGAAAAAAAAAAA